GCAGACAAACGGCCACTCCCCCTGGCGCCCGGCAACCTTAAATGGTTGGGGACCACTGAGCTAGAGAGTGCTGGTGGGGGATTGCTTCAGAAAGAACAATGTTAGTAAGTGTTCCCATGATGCCTATAGAGTGTGTAGGATGGATTCTTCCAATCTGGGATAGGAAGTAAAAAGAGAACGTACAATTCTTGCATATTCAAATAAATTAACTTTCATTTAGGTAAGTCCTGTCTTTCTTTTAGGAGTGTGAACTCTTAACTGCTGATGCATGTAGCATAGTTAGCATATACTGTGATCAGTTAATAGACTTTATATATAAAAACATTTTCCTCAGAGTGCAGCAGGGTTAGTTCACATTTTTTCAGGAATCATAGGACAGAAACTGTATTTTTTCTTTGAACAATGCATTACAGTTTTCCATGGTCTGTGCCATTGGAAAGTACATCTGGCTTGTTTTCTGGTGTAGTTTTTGTATGCTATAACACACATAATTCAAATGGTTTAATAAGACATGGTATATGTAATTTTAAACTATGATAAGTTAAGCCATTTCCACAGTGTGTGTGGGGTACCTCTCCAGGCCCTCTGCCAGGCACTCCATCGCAGCTATCAGGGATGAAAATAGATGCTTCTTGCAGTTCCTTTCCCTCTTTCCTGTCCTGCTGTTCTGCCATCCTCTCCTCCCTCTCTTCCGGCATCACTTCCAGGAGTGTATTTCTCCATTCCATTTGCTCCTAGTACATGTCTGCTGTTCCCATTGTAATGAAAAGTTACAAAGACACACATTACAGGAGATATATCGGGGTGCCAGAAGCTGAAGCAATAGTAGTGGCAGAGGCATCAGCTAATAGCATCCCCTCCTCCATCACCCAGGTTGCTATACGAGAGAGAAATCTTCTCTGACTGATAAGGAGCTGCTGCTGCCTGAATGTGGCCAGAAACCTGGTCCTGTAATGATGCCAGACTACTTACTGCTGACTTTGCATGAGAAGGTGTCCTACCATGGAGGACGAAATAAGGCTGGCCTCCTCAGACTC